GGTCTGCCTCATTTCTTCCCCCTGGTCTGCCTCCATTTCTCCCCCCAGGTCTGCCTCTATTTCTTCCCCTGATCTACCTGTATTTCTCCCCCCTGATCTACCGCTATTATTTTAGGACAAAGTTATTTTTCCACAACGAATGAAACTCTGTTGTAGTGAAAATTATGTTACTCATCGACTTCTAAAGAAGTTAATGCAATTTAGCAAATTCAATATTGGTGCTATAGTCCGTGTGGACACAGGCGGGACTAAGAAGTAAGTGGCACAGACAACAACCCCTCAAGATTGGTTGCAATAGTTAGCTAAATATCTCGTCCATTACATTCAGCTTTCTACCTTCCAATTCTCCCTTCCCCCAGCCGCTCCCGTCTCTGTCCGTCCGTCTCCCTCAACCGATACTTTAGACGGATGCCAGGTTGGTGTTATTGGTGCTGGTGTGGGGCTCTGTGTCGGCTGGTCCTCGTGTAGGCGCTCGTGGTGGTGTTGTTTCTGGAGGAGTCGTGATATAACGACAACACCACACACACACTCACATACACTCACCCAAGCCTGTGTTGTGTATACTCTCTCTCTCTCTCTCTCTCTCTCTCTCTCTCTCTCTCTCTCTCTCTCTCTCTCTCTCTCTCTCTCTCTCTCTCTCTCTCTCTCTCTCTCTCCCCCCCGCTATTAGGGGGGGGGGGGGGTAGAGCAGGAGGAGTAAAGTCAGGTTTGGTGACCATTACTGACATAGCTGGCGTGAGTGGGAGACTCTGAGGGATTACCGGTGGGTCGGGCCAGCAGGTGTTGTGGTCATTACTGCCAGCAGGTGTTGTGGTCATTACTGCCAGCAGCTGCCAGCAGGTGTTGTGGTCATTACTGCCAGCAGGTGTTGTGGTCATTACTGCCAGCAGGTGTTGAGGTCATTACTGCCAGCAGGTGTTGTGGTCATTACTGCCAGCAGGTGTTGTAGTCATTACTGCCAGCAGGTGTTGAGGTCATTACTGCCAGCAGGTGTTGTGGTCATTACTGCCAGCAGGTGTTGTGGTCATTACTGCCAGCAGGTGTTGTGGTCATTACTGCCAGCAGGTGTTGTGGTCATTACTGCCAGCAGGTGTTGTGGCCATTACTGCCAGCAGGTGTTGTGGTCATTACTGCCAGCAGCAGGTGTTGTGACCATTACTGCCAGCAGGTGTTGTGGTCATTACTGCCAGCAGGTGTTGTGGCCATTACTGCCAGCAGGTGTTGTGGTCATTACTGCCAGCAGCAGGTGTTGTGACCATTACTGCCAGCAGGTGTTGTGGTCATTACTGCCAGCAGGTGTTGTGGTCATTACTGCCAGCAGGTGTTGTGGTCATTACTGCCAGCAGCGCCAGCAGGTGTTGTGGGAATTTAATGCCAGCAGGTGTTGTGGCTATTACTGCCAGCAGCGCCAGCAGGTGTTGTGGTCATTACTGCCAGTAGGTCATTATTGCTGCTTACTTTCTGAACACCAATTAGCTTCCACTCAATCTTCTCTGTTCCTTTATTGCCCCCGTTCCATTCCTTCCCTCCATGTATGTTTACATCTCTCTCTCTCTCTTCCTCTTTCTTCACCCTTCCATCCCCTTACCCTTGCGACTTCCTCGCTCTCTGTTCCATTCCAACTCCCTCCCTGCTACCTTTCCACACCATCCCTGCCTCGTTATTCCATCTTCCCTACTGCCTCCTGCTCCCTCCCTGCTTCCCTCCCACTCACCTACTCACTCCCCTACTCCCTCTTCACTCCTTCCTGCCTCTCCTTCATTCATAACACCTTACCCACTCCAATCTCTCTCCTTTCCCATGTAACTCATATTCCACAGTCTCAATACTGTCTCCCACGTTAACTTTTTCAACTTTCCCGTCTCTCCCACGCTACCCCCTTCCGTATTCTGCCGACCTCTCACTCTTCCCCATCATTATCTTTTCTCCCCTTACCTTAACCCCTATTCCATACTCTCTTCCTAACGCATTTAACTCCCCCATTCTTCTCTCTAGAGCACCCCATTGAATTTTCAGTATAAGTGACTTGAATGTTTTGATTATGATACGAACATGCTGGTAAGCAATACTTACAGTAATGGGTTGAAAATAAATGCCCTCGTGGCGTTATATTTGCCGTTAACTGTTAACACAACAGTTGATGGCCGTTAACCGTTAACGAGGAGGTCGATGGCTGTTGGGAGTGTTCAACAACGGGGAAGTTAATGGCTATTGGGCCTGTTCAACAACGGGGAAGTTGATGATTGTTCGGCCTGTTAACAACGGGGAAGTTGATGACTGTTGGACCTGTTCAACAACGGGGAAGCTGATGACTGTTCACTGGTCGTTAGGGAACATTAGTCACTACTTAGCTTTCGTTAATGTTAATGTATATTAACTGTGAATAATTGTTATTAACGGTTAATGATTCATTGTTATTTATTGTGAAAATGTAATTGATGATTGCTATTTTCTGTTGATAATTTATAATTGCCTGTTAATGCGTATTAATTAACGTAGCCATTTGCAAACGTTTTGCTACCGTTATCCTCTCGACGTTGTCTGTTACCAGTTATTAGTGTCTAATTAATATTAGTGACTAACCTATTAGTGTCTAACTAATAACCCCTTACCGTTATTGAGTATATTCAGTTCAGTGTTCGTCGTTAGTAACTGACAACCAATGTCAATAAGCGTTAACGCCCGTTTGTGACTGCTAACGCCCGTTAGTTACCGTTAACGCCCGTTAGTTACTGCATGTTGATGCCCGTTAGTTACTGTTGACGCCCGTTAGTTGCTGTTAACGCCCGTTAGTTACTGTTAACACCCGTTAGTTACTGTTAACGCCCGTTAGTTGCTGTTAACGCCCGTTAGTGACCGCTAACGTTCGTTAGTGACCGCTAACGCCCGTTAGTGACCACTAACGTTCGTTAGTGAGCGCTAACGCCCGTTAGTAACCGCTAACGCCCGTTAATGACCGCTAACGCCCGTTAATGACCACTTACACCCGTTAATGACCGTTAACGCCCGTTAATGACCGTTAACGCCCATTAATGACCACTAACGCCTGTTAATGACCACTAACGCCCGTTAATGACCGCTAACGCCTGTTAATGGCCGCTGTTGATCGTTGCTCCTCTGATAACGTCACTGATACAAGGTAGAAACGCTTCCTATTGACACACACTATTAATCATACTACACTGGTAATTAGCTATTATTATTATGCTAATTGTAGCCATTTCATTAAATATATATTAGGGGCCATACACATTTATAGTGTTTATTACATCAGTAAATTCATATGTATTATTATTTCTATTGCTGTAATTTAATTTGATTAGATTAACTGAAACATTGATTTTCGCGTAAATGTCTCGTTTCAATCACTGTAATTATGAAATGTATAAATCACGCCCAGTTGTTGCGTTCGTTTTAATAAATAGGATTTTCCCATACTGTACCCGCATTGGCGTTTGTGGCTGTAAATACGCGAGTCTATTGGTCAGTGGCCCAGGTGGTTTGATGATTAGTTTGAAGTTGTGATAGTCCGGGTTCGTCTCCAGTTCTCGGTGTGTGTACTCACCTAATTGTGCTTGCGGGGGTTGAGCTTTGGCTCTTTGGTCCCGCCAAAGAGCGTGTGTGTACTTACCTAATTGTGCTTGCGGGGGTTGAGCTCTGGCTCTTTGGTCCCGCCTCTCAACCGTCAATCAACTGGTGTACAGATTCCTGAGCCTATTGGGCTCTATCATATCTACATTTGAAACTGTGAATGGAGTCAGCCTCCACCACATCACTTCCTAATGCATTCCATTTGCTAACTACTCTGACACTGAAAAAGTTCTTTCTAACGTCTCTGTGGCTCATTTGGGTACTCAGCTTCCACCTGTGTCCCCTTGTTCGCGTCCCACCAGTGTTGAAAAGTTCGTCCTTGTTTACCCGGTCGATTCCCCTGAGGATTTTGTAGGTTGTGATCATGTCCCCCCTTACTCTTCTGTCTTCCAGTGTCGTGAGGTGCATTTCCCGCAGCCTTTCCTCATAACTCATGCCTCTTAGTTCTGGGACTAGTCTAGTAGCATACCTTTGGACTTTTTCCAGCTTCGTCTTGTGCTTGACAAGGTACGGGCTCCATGCTGGGGCCGCATACTCCAGGATTGGTCTTACATATGTGGTGTACAAGATTCTGAATGATTCCTTACACAGGTTCCTGAACGCCGTTCTGATGTTAGCCAGCCTCGCATATGCCGCAGACGTTATTCTCTTTATGTGGGCTTCAGGAGACAGGTTTGGTGTGATATCAACTCCTAGATCTTTCTCTCTGTCTGTTTCATTAAGTACTTCATCTCCTATTCTGTATCCTGTGCCTGGCCTCCTGTTTCCACTGCCTAGTTTCATTACTTTGCATTTACTCGGGTTGAACTTCAACAGCCATTTGTTGGACCATTCACTCAGTCTATCCAGGTCATCTTGTAGCCTCCTACTATCATCCTCTGTTTCAATCCTCCTCATAATTTTTGCATCGTCGGCAAACATTGAGAGGAACGAATCTATACCCTCTGGGAGATCATTTACATATACCAGAAACAGTATAGGTCCAAGGACTGACCCCTGCGGGACTCCACTTGTGACGTCTCGCCAATCTGAGACCTCACCCCTCACACAGACTCGTTGTCTCCTGTTGCTTAGGTATTCCTCTATCCACCGGAGTACCTTCCCTCTCACTCCAGCCTGCATCTCCAACTGGTGTACAGATTGTGTGTGTGTGTGTGTGTGTGTGTGTGTGCGTGTGTGTGTGTGTGTGTGTGTGTGTGGGGTGTGTGTACTTACTTATTTGTGTCTGCAGGATCGAGCACTGACTTTTGGATCCCGCCTTTCGAGCATCGGTTCTTTACAGCAATGACTACGGTCTTATTTCCTTATCATACCTAGTTTTAAAATTATGAATAGTATTTGCTTCCACAACCTGTTTGTTGTGTGTGTGTGTGTGTGTGTGTGTGTGTGTAAACATGCTTCTCATATCCTTCTCTTCTTCCATGCAGTGTGGTCATGGGCGTGTATGTGGGCGTGGGCGGCAGTCTTCGCCCTCCTCTTCGCACGGGCGTGTGGGCGTGGTGGAATTAAAGGTAAGTTTACTATCTTTATCTACTGGATTTTTTTTATCTTAGTCACGTGCTTTATCCAGGGAATGTCATATCTTCAATCTTCAGTGACAATTATCTCAGAAAATGCAGAATATATATATATATATATATATATATATATATATATATATATATATATATATATATATACTATATATATATATATATATATATGTCGTACCTAGTAGCCAGAACTCACTTCTATGCCTACTATGCAAGGCCCGATTTGCCTAATAAGCCAAGTTTTCATGAATTAATTGTTTTTCGACTACCTAACCTACCTAACCTAACCTAACCTAACGTTTCGGCTACCTAACCTAACCTAACCTATAAAGATAGGTTAGATTAGGTTAGGTAGGGTTGGTTAGGTTCGGTCATATATCTTCGTTAATTTTAACTCCAATAAAAAAATATTGACCTCATACATAATGAAATGGGTAGCTTTATCATTTCATAAGAAAAAAATTAGAGAAAATATATTAATTCAGGAAAACTTGGCTTATTAGGCAAATCGGGCCTTGCATAGTAGGCTGAGAAGTGCGTTCTGGCTATTAGGTACGACATATATATATATATATATATATATATATATATATATATATATATATATATATATATATATATATATATATATATATATATATATATAGGTAGATTGGCCTTGGCAGTCTGAGGGAGAAAGAGAGAGAGAGAGAGAGAGAGAGAGAGAGAGAGAGAGAGAGAGAGAGGAGAGAGAGAGAGAGAGAGAGAGAGAGAGAGAGAGAGAGAGAGAGAGAGAGAGAGAGAGAGAGAGAGAGAAGAGGGATTTCGGTCTCTAAAGAGATGTGGACGTTCAGAGAAGATTCACAGAGTTATAAGATTAATGGAACTTGAAGCAAATGAATGATGATAATGTGAAATGTTATGTGTCACATCCCAAGAGTCGATCAACTATTCGTTCAGGACCCCTAAATGTGTCAATAAAAAAAATGGATCGCATTATTACTAATAAGCCAAAGACCACACCATCCTCCTTTACACAGTGTCCCAGCCTACCTTCCCATTAACACCTACCATTAACATATATATATAATGCTCCAACACCAATCCTCAATCACCCCCAATCCACATCGAATATTTAAATAATTCGCTAAGACCCACACACGAGGGGACCACCAACCCCGCTCCACACTTCTCCCCCCTTATCCCTATCTCCCTCGAGCCCATAAACTCCCCCTCATCCTCTCCCATTCTCTGCATGTCATCGTGCACAATATGTTAGGTAAAGAGAGGGATTGTAGCCCGAGAAGCTTCGGGATCCTAGTGAGGGGCAGTAGCACTCCAGGCTGCAATTCTTTTTAACCAGGTCGTTTTACAGTTGACTAAGGCGCATCTCGGAACATCCCGTGCGTAGGTTCGAACCCTCATCACGGTCCATATGGATATGTTCGAGAGGGACTGTATTTAAGAGAGTAATTAATAATATTATTTGAAGAGATAGATTGTACTGGCATTGGTGTACGAGGACGCCTTTAGATACGACCTTAGAAATACATTGTTCCATTTTTGCTACTATGAATACTTCTAATAATTCTCCTACTACGGCGACTACTACTACTGTAGGTAGTGCTACTACTGCTACGATTACTTGTACCGCGTCTACCACTTCCACTGCTTCTACTGCTACCACTACTATAATTACTTACAAGGAACCGTGAGCGATTATCATCTATGGTTATCACCACGAAGATATTATGCATGTAAATTTCGGGTCACTAGTTGCAATTATTTCCGCCTTGTCCTGAAGCGTATTTGCATATTGTGAAGTGACAACAAAACCGTCGCTATGGTTACGGAATCACAGGGTTTTGTTTGATTTAAAAACAGAAAGATTGTGTTTGGTGCGACGGAGCTATCGAACATAAGGCGAGGGCGGTGGTGATTGTAGTGGTAATGGGTAATGGGGGGGGGAAAATAATGGGTTGATGGAGGTGACAGTGGCGTTATCGGTGGTAATGGTGGTGGTGTGTGGTGGTGTCTATTTCGTAATGTTCGTTAGTTTACGTCAAATCATCAACCATCAACTCCATCGACCATAATTCATCATTTTTTTACGACAACTGACCACGACTAGTACTCGCGCCTTGCTTGTGTGGTCAACTATTTGAATGCAAGGTGAGAAGAAGTTTTGGAAGCCACCTCCATCACCAAATTTAAAGTTTGACAAAGGATTTGGACGTCAGAATAGTTAAATTGAAATGAAACAAGTGCATGATAGCCAGAAGGCAGAGCATAAAGAGCTACAGCTCACTACCCTTAGACACTGTTAAGTAACTGTTAGATAAACAAACACACACACACACACACACACACACACACACACACACACACACACACACACACACACACACACACACACACACACACACAGGGGCCTCGTAGCCTTAAAGGGGCCTCGTAGCCTGGTGGATAGCGCGCAGGACTCGTAATTCTGTGGCGCGGGTTCGATTCCCGCACGAGGCAGAAACAAATGGGCAAAGTTTCTTTCACCCTAAGTGCCCCTGTTACCTAGCAGTAAATAGGTACCTGGGAGTTAGTCAGCTGTCACGGGCTGTTTCCTGGGTGTGTGTGTGTGTGTGTGGTGTGGAAAAAAAAAAAAAAAAAAAAAGTAGTTAGTAAACAGTTGATTGACAGTTGAGAGGCGGGCCGAAAGAGCAAAGCTCAACTCCCGCAAAAACACAACTAGTAAACACACACACACACACACACACACACGGTAAACTCGACAACATGCAATGTTTTGAGAAATCACTCATACATTTTAACACAAATGCAAACTAATGAGTGTGTAAGGAAGGTGAAAGGAAACGAAATGATCCTACTGAGGAGATTGTGCAGCTCCGAGTGTCGACAAAGATAATGAGCAAAGAGTGAATAAAACAATGAATAACATTTCAAGAAGAGTAGACACATGCACACAGCAGGAACCTGTTTCGATCGAGTTGGGAAATAAACAAGATGAGCCCGAGGAATGTAAGAAAGGTTTCCCGAAGTGATATACAAGTGGAATGAAATATTGGATGAAGTGGCAGACTTCCTCGATAAATTTAAAACCAGACATGAAAAAACATTTATAAAAGGTGAGACAATGAAATTGAGGACATCACCTCGACGATTTATTGTCGGTGGATGTTTATACTGTGGTGCATGCGTCAGGCTGAGAGCAGCTGCGACAATCAGTCTGATTGATCAGGCTGAGTGACCAGGCTGATTGACCAGGCTGATTGACCAGGCTGATTGACCAGGCTGATCACCAACCACCCTGAAAACGCACTATACGTAACTGTCGCTATTTTCCACCTGTTACAACTTGTAATAAAGTTGTTACATCTTGGTATAACGTGTTTATGACGTATTAGAATGTTGTTACAACATGCCATATTGGTTGTTACACTTGTTAGGTGTTAAAAACCTGTGCGAATGTTGTAGCAACGTTGTAGTTTCGCCGTGTGTGTTTGGCATGCAGGAGCTCTGGTCAGAGACCGGGCCGTTGAGACGCTAATCCTCGAAGTCAACAACAGGTAGGTATGGTAGGGGGGGGGAGAAGTACATAAGAATACGTACAGGCTTCCTGTCCCTGACAACGGGAATACTGTGGCGTCTACTGTGTCTGACGGAGGTGAAGACTAAGGATGCCATCACTGTGGCACTTGGGCACCCACCGGTGATTGGCCAGTCAGGATGCTGCCTCGGTGATTGGTCAGTCAGGATGCTGCCTCGGTGATTGGTCAGTCAGGATGCTGCCTCGGTGATTGGTCAGTCAGGATGCTGCCTCGGTGATTGGTCAGTCAGGGTGCTGCCTCGGTGATTGGTCAGTCAGGATGCTGCCTCGGTGATTGGTCAGTCAGGATGATGCCTCGGTGATTGGTCAGTCAGGCTGCTGCCTCGGTGATTGGTCAGTCAGGATGCTGCCTCGGTGATTGGTCAGTCAGGATGATGCCTCGGTGATTGGTCAGTCAGGCTGCTGCCTCGGTGATTGAACAGTCAGGATGCTGCCTCGGTGATTGGTCAGTCAGGATGATGCCTCGGTGTTTGAACAGTCAGGATGATGCCTCGGTGATTGAACAGTCAGGATGCTGCCTCGGTGATTGGTCAGTCAGGCTGCTGCCTCGGTGATTGAACAGTCAGGATGCTGCCTCGGTGATTGGTCAGTCAGGATGATGCCTCGGTGATTGATCAGTCAGGATGCTGCCTCGGTGATTGGTCAGTCAGGATGATGCCTCGGTGATTGAACAGTCAGGATGCTGCCTCGGTGATTGGTCAGTCAGGATGATGCCTCGGTGATTGGTCAGTCAGGATGATGCCTCGTTGATTGAACAGTCAGGATGATGCCTCGGTGATTGAACAGTCAGGATGATGCCTCGGTGATTGGTCAGTCAGGATGATGCCTCGGTGATTGAACAGTCAGGATGCTGCCTCGGTGATTGGTCAGTCAGGATGATGCCTCGGTGATTGAACAGTCAGGATGCTGCCTCGGTGATTGGTCAGTCAGGATGATGCCTCGGTGATTGGTCAGTCAGGATGATGCCTCGGTGATTGAACAGTCAGGATGATGCCTCGGTGATTGAACAGTCAGGATGCTGCCTCGGTGATTGGTCAGTCAGGATGATGCCTCGGTGATTGGTCAGTCAGGGTGCTGCCTACTAAGACCCACAATACACTGATAAGAGCAGCCTCTTTGGGGTTTCTCATGTATGAAACAACACGTATAGAACTAATGGCTCCACATCCTCCATCAAAACAACTTTTGTTGCCCCTAGTGTCATGGTTAGTTAGAATTTATAATACAAAACCTAAAATACATCTGTTAGGTATGGCGTTCAGTTCCTGAGGCCATTATGTGTCTGTAATCTTTTTCCCCTACCTCCCTCGGGATGGCTATGGAGTGCATAATAAACAAACTCAAATCAGATTCTTACTATAGATCCAAGAATCGTCTCCTG